ATCATATCGATATCTAAAATTTTTGAACGATACCCAGTCCTAGACATAACTGGCTGTGTTTACATTAATTTTGCATCATAAAACCATTTTGAGACGCAAGTGCATTAAATCACTTACACGGAGTCGCGCACAGCCGCTTGGGCGAGCAGTCTTCACAAGCGCGCGTCAGCATTTGAAATTGAAAGCAGCCTTCTGTTAGTGAGGTTCACATTTTAAATATATAAGTCCACTGTATTCCAAACCACATAAATGATGACTTAGTAGAGCATTTGTAAGGAAAATACCGACTGGCGAGACTACACACTTCAAGTGTAACATCAAACAAAGCGCGCGCCGCGTCTCTCACAGCGAATCCTGTGCAATGAAGCCCGCGAATGTCCTTGTAATTCGCTTCAACCTTTCCAAACTTTATGAAAGATTACTTTACGGAAGGTTCGAGTGGTGTATGTGTGTGAGGAATTGGAAGCAAGCAGAATACGGGTGTTTCTAAAGCAAACTCAGCGTCATCGCGCATCTGGTTAAAAACTATAAGCTCAGAATCGATTCTGAAATTCTCAGAATCGATCCCAGAATCGTTGGAGAGAGAATCGCGATGCATCGATGGATTGATTTTTTCTCCCACCCCTATACAGTATATAGTTGTATTCTGTTTTCTCCGCTCACAGAAGCGCTGCAGGTGCGTGATGTGACCTTGTGTGAATCCATCTACACCAGTGGTCACCAACGTGGTGCCCGTGGGCACCTGGTAGCCCGCATGGAGTCTCTGAGTCGCCCGCCAAGCACGTTCTATAAATAGCCTAAATTAGCGTCGGGCGATATAAATGATATCATATCGAGATTATGATAAAATTTATGTTAATAATGATGATAAGCTCTCGACATTTTTACTCAATATGGATTAATCTAACATCCTATCACACAACAGAAATAAATGTTACAGCAACCAGTCAGTGCATGTCGCTAATAAGTCTGCATGTTCTGTGTGACTCTGAATGCGTGGAGTAGTTTCAGCATCTGCGTCTCAATATATGAGGACATGAACACATGCACTTCATCTTCAGAGCTGCTCTGAGAGTCACTTCACCAGCGTTATGCAGTTTCATTTGAGAAGAAATACCGTCAAATACACGCTGAAACTAAAACTAAAACTGAAAGACCTTCACGACAAACCGTCAAAATAAAAGTCCGGTTTAACTTGAAATTATATGACTGAATATATTACTACTGTATACTACAATGCAATTCTCAAAGTAATAATAATATTATTATTTTTAAGGAATATCATACAACCAAGTTATTTTTTATTATTATTAATTTATACAGTTCTGTTGTGCAGCATCATGTCTGATAAAATAAAATAAAAATAAATAAATAAAAATGCAATGTTTTGTTTTAAATTGATTTTCATTTGATTACATTTTAAAAGATTGATTCAATTGTTTAAGTTTTATTAATTCAGTTCACTAGACACCATTTTTTATGATAAATTTGTACTGAATCATAAAACACAGAATCCATAAGAAATCAAATGGAAAACATTAACTAATATCTAAGATCAAGATATTAGAGTGAAAACAATTATAAAATAATTATATATATATATATATATGTATTGGAGTATATCAAACAAGTAGCCCTATTTTATCCCTTCAGGGAGTCCTCACTCACGAAAAGGCTGGAGACCCCTGATCTACACTATCCTGGTAATTTTCACGGGCATAGCTATTGCGACTTACCTATGATGAATTTACAGCTGAGCACAGGCATTTCACTCATTGGATACATAATCATCACATTTGCATTGGCTGTACTATTTGAATTTGTGATTTGTTGATTGCAAAATGAAAATACTAAACAGAACAATAAAATAATGTTATTAACGGGTTAATGGCCATTTCAAAAAGGCGTTTCAGTTCATTTTATTTGGTTTCTGTTTATGCTCCTGTCAATTTTGTTCATTTCCGGCTTTTGTTTTCTTTCTTTGAACCGGTTCAGATCCCTGGTTTTTAGTGTTTACATGAGATATATCTTACCTTCTTTATAACTCCTGCTTTTGTGATAACAGGGTTCTCTTCATTCTCCCTCGCCCCCGTTTCTGAGGCCTCAGAACTCACATCCCTTTATGATAGAGAAAAAGCAAATTGTGAATTCTTGATAAAGAACCTCTTGCAGTATAGTTTAATCAACACTGGATAAATGCCACATCACAGTGAATGAAAAGTAAATAAATTCTGATAAGCACAAACCTGCTCTTATTTGTTGCAGGTGAGCTGGGTTGAGAGTTGGTGCTTGCGTTGCTTACTGTGTCAGAGGTGGGGGTTTTAATGTACGGTCGGCGAGCTGTTACCGTTAAAGGTTTGTTCACTGCCCCCAGCACGCCTGTCTGCTTTGGTGGTTGCTTTGGTGGAAATATATGAACAAGTATGTGTAATGTAACACAGTCAAGGCATTCATTTGTTAGTTACTGGTTAATTGCATCTTTTCAACAAAAAGAATGTTGATATGTCATCTATCCCTGTGTGCAAAACTCCCAACTACTTTGAACACACTCAACTTTTTTTGTCTGCTGAACTTAAATTATACTTACTTGGAGATTATAATGTTCTCATCTTTTAATGTAATGAAACATTTTTTTTTGTTTAATTGTTCATAAGTTTGGGGTAGGTAAGATCTCACTCTCATGCTTACCATGGCTGTATTTAATCAAAAATATTATCAAGAACAGTAATACTGTGAAATATTGCAATTTAAAATAACTGAATGTAATTTATTCCTGTCAAAGCTGGATTTTACAGTGTCACATGATCCTTTAGAAATCATTTTAATATGACAATTTGATCCTCGAGAAACATTTTTAATTATCAATGTTGAAAACAGTTGTGCAGCTTAACATTTTTACGGAAACCATGACACATTCACACAGCACATTTTATTTTTGAATAGTTCTATTTGCATTAAATTAATCAAAAGTGACAGTAAGGGCTTTTATATTGTTATAAAGGATTTCAAATAAATACCGTTCTTACTGACCCAAAACTTTTGAACAATAGTGTCTATTTTTGGGTTTTATTTTTTTAAATAATAAATTTTTATATTTATTTGGAACTGGCTTTCTATTACAAACTGTACAACCTTTTATTTGCATAAAATATAGAGCGCCTAAATTGCTTAAATCTTTCTTACATAACCTACAACTTACTGTACTCATCACTTCTAGAAATTCATCAGTGTATTACTCACATACAGTAGCAGATGTGACAAAACCTACCTGGATTTTTCCTGTCTGCAGAACTATTTTGGCTTCTGGTGACAAATATTCCTTATCATTGATAAAATCCTGTAGAGAGGGGCAGACAGAATGATTTTCATTGTAAAGCCACATGTAAAGTGTCACTGCAGTTAGAGTGGTTGTTACCTTATCAGGTGGGGTAAAGAACTTGCTAGGCAGCACAGGATCTTTTGGGGAGTCCAGATGACATGAAGTGCTCTTGTTCGCGATCACGAATAACGCCACATCACACAAAATGTAAAGTTTCTGTAAATACATGAGAACAAGAGTAAAAAACACTGGGATTCAGAAATACATAAACATTATGCAGGACAGGTTAATGGTGACAAACCTCATTTGCCTTTGGGTCATCTGGGGCCTGAGCATCTTTTGTTTGTTTGATGTTCTCTACCATCTTCCTCAGGAATGAGTGACTGTTATTCTCATTCTTTGTCATCAACACCTCCAGCATGAACCACAAGCACCTGAAAAAAAAAATCTTGTCTGAATTCAATCTAAAACATACATTCTATGAGAACATTAGTGTCTGTGTCAACTCAGAAATGTGCAGAAATAAAAAGAGAAGTGCAGTGCAAAAGTGTGTGAACATGTTTGAAACTCATACTCTTTGACGTCTCTGAGCTGCTCCAAATCCTGTGGTTTGGTAAGGTCTGGATCATGAGCTAGAAGATGGATCATGTATGGCACCACATATTCTGGCAGGAGAGACAGCAGCTTTTCTGAAAATCAAACACGCAGGATATTTAGGTCTTGGCCATTCAAGCAATTTCGCAATTCCTTAGTATGCCATGTGTGATACTAAAAACCAGAATCTGTATCTACCATGGGCCATGGGGTTCTGTTTGATGTACTCTCTGCGGACACTGATGTTCTTGAGCAGGCACTGTCGGGCATGAGCACGGCGCTCTTTCACTGGGTCTTTAGCGCACAATGCAAACACAGCCATGTACTCCAGTGGCAACAACAGCTTCACCAGAGCAACATGCAACTTCTGAGCAAAGATCTGGCGCACCTGATAACACTCATCCTATAAAGAGAGGTGAAAGGGAAGGAAAAACTTGAAAATATGTGAAGTTGTGGCTAATATATGCTTTTGTAGCATGTTCTTATATGTCCAGTTATTTGATTGTGTTAATAAGCTGTTTTTGCTCCTGTGCTTCTAAGAGTTTTATATATAAATGAATGATTTGGTAGAACAAACTACATTTGGATTTATATATTTGCCAACTGCAAGTGTCACTGTATTTAAGGGGTGCATTTACATTGCATTGACCAAGGCAACTCAAGACCTTGGCATTACTAGCACCATCATCTACAAGGAAAATTCTTAGAGATGCACAATATATTAGTACCATTCAGTTTACATCTTATATTTTTCAGCTTCGGTCGATATTAGATAATTAATTGTAAAGCTTATTTCCCCTATTTTTATCTTAACATTTATATTTTACCTTAGTTTCTACTTTTAGATTAAGTGAGCATTAGATGACAGGAAAGTTCATCTTTGAAAACACTTAAATGTAATACTTAGCAAATCTAAGAAGTAATTTTCCTTTTTCATACTATACACACAATCTTGTTATTCCTAAATTCACTTGCATCATTTAAAGTGATTGATTTTAGTTTACAGGTTTTAGTTTTATTTAGACAAAACAGTACAGAATTTTAAAGCCAGCCATTATCTAAAAAAATAGTAATTGAATTTTTTATGTTCCATATGTGTCCAAGTAGTCTTGTGCTCAACTCACATTAATGACGAGTCCACAGAGCTGGAACTGTTCTGGAGTGATGATGTCATGGTAACAGGGCTCTTGTGCCAGTTTCATGATGGCGCTCCCCGCTGCAAGCCTCAGTCGAGACATGTCAGACTTGCTGTGTCCACAAACACGCTTGTTAGGGGCCTATTAGCCATATTAGGGCAGCTTTCGTAATTGTATACAATGTCGCACTGGGGATCTTGACACACAGTTAGTACCTGATCTTTTTCTGCTCTGTAAGGTCTCCCTCGCTGACCAGCATGGCTGAGAGGAGTCTGAGAGTAGAGTTAGCTGATTTGGACAGATTATTCTTCATTCCCAGCAACCAGCGGACCAACAACTTAATGGCTTGCACCTGGCAACACTCATGCACATTAATACACACACAAATCACCAAGAGATGTTGTTTTCAACCTGATTACTTAAAGGAATTTTACCTTAGCCAGCACTTCAGGAGAAACCTCATCGTCAGCTGTCCAGAGCCGCCCATTTTTGTTTCCCACAGACTGAGAGGTAGAAAGGGCTCATTTAACATGCAATAAAACCATTCATACATGCTCAAAGCAGAACACCACATCAATATGCTCACTCTGTCATTCATCAGAAGGTCCTTCACAATAAAATTGGCTACGATTGACTTCATGGGTGATGCAAACTGATCCGGGGCCAGCATAGAAATGTGTCCAAGAGAGACAAGCGGAGTGATGAGCTGTTCAGGCACGTCTGCATTCAGACTGCGAGACAACGGCTGGAACAAGAGACAGACAGAAAAGCATGTATGAAAAATTCTCATGCGGCAAAAATGACCTTCTTGTCATTATTGTAATATTCACATAATTTGACAGTCAAAAGTGAGCATTTTAAGAAAAATGCATTTATGCACTTCGATTTACCTCAAATATTTGAGCTAACTGGACCTCTTTGTTGTGAAAGATGACATGGATGCAGTGGACCGCCTGTTTGGCCTGGTGGGGGGTGCCTCGTTTTGCCTTCTGATGTAGTATGGGAATTAGAGTCCTGCACAAAGATAACAGAACAACATTTTACTACATCAAACTTTTGTATTTGATTTTAATAAAGCTGACGAGACTTGGTACTAGTTCTAAACAGTTGTGTGTATGCATGTGGGAGTTGTTCATACGAGCGAATCTGTGGCAGTTCTGTCTCAATCTTTTGTCCTGTGTTTCTGAAGATCTGTATTGCTGCTTCTGCCACTTTATCGTCCTCCATCCTCAGACACTGCAGCAAAGACTCGTATGTCTCAGCTGAGTGGAACGCAGTGGGGTGAGTAAATGACAAAATCTAAGGTAGGGACAGACAGAACAGCAAACTTACATTAAAATAAAGAACATGACTGCAAATGAGTCAAAGATACTTAGTATTAAGAAGAGCAATAGCCCATATTCAGCAATTAATTTTTATATTAATATAGTAATATTTTTATATTAATGTGATTGCATATCTACATTGTATTTCAAACTCTTATTTTAAAAAAGCCAGAAATCCTGTTTTTTGCATTTGCAGTTACAAACAGTACCTTGAGTAGCTCAAGTCCAGCACGAATGGCAGTATCAGGAGTTACTCCCTCATCTTCATCATCAGCAGTGCCCTCAATTGACTTATTTAACAGCTTAACCAGGGCGCTGCACACACACATACACACACACATTATTGGTGATCCAAAACGTCTACACAATACCTGCAGTTACACTTTACTCTCACTAGATGTCTCACCCATAACAAGCTATTCAGAGTGTTACACAACCGTTGAGAGGAAAAAAGCACATGGCCCATATTGCGCTCATCTCTCTCCCACTCAGTCGGTTTCTCTTCCCCTCTCATTCATGTTCTCGCTTTACATCTGCAGGTGCACTGATAGGAGTCCATATCCGATGTTGCTGTTCAAACAAAGTGCATGCATTCTCTGACTGTGCTTCATTCTGCACATCATTTCCGATTTGCTTTTCTGACTTGATTTTTAGGGCTGATTGCCTGCACAGTTGGAATTAATTTGGGCATTGTAGTCCATGTAAAGTATGTTTACAGTAGTTGTTATAATAACGACTTTTGATAGACAGCATGTGTGGAAAATAATGGACTCATCCCTCACAAAAAAAATATTATAATAAAAAATACAAGAAAATCACCAGTGTTTCAATAAGGTATTTCAAATAAAAATAATGGCAATTTTTTGCTGGATGCATGTTCATTAATTAAAAAAATAATAATTCTCATCTGCCATTTGACCTCATCGCCTACCTGATAGCCTCAGAGTCGATGTGCACCGGTGCGATTCTCTCCAGCAGAAATTTCACCATCTCCAGGAATGGGTTTGTGGGCTGCTTGGGGAATGTCAGCTTCCGTGTGATTTCCCTCTGGAAAAAAAAAATACCACTCTTAGATGACTTATATCTGTTATATGTTTAATACTACTACTACTACAACTACTGTTGACTGGAACAGGTCTTAGTTAATATGCATTATATACATTATATATGAAAACCTATCATGTGCTTGGAAAGTGCAGTGTTGAATGTGATTGGTGGAGATAGTGTTTTTAAACTTACCACACACTGTTCAGCCTGTTTACATGAGCAGGTAGGGCTGATGAGCTGCTCAAGCTGAAGACGGAGTTTCTCATCTTCACCCAGAACCTGATTAAACTTCTTCATAAAATCCTGAGCTTTACCTGGATCTGGGAGATTCTCTGAGAATGAGAGACGAATTACACATTGTGAAACCTAATGGTTTTACTTACCATCCATTTACAGGCATATATATATATATATATATATATATTGTGTGCTTACTAGCGATGGTCATAAGTTTTCCAAACATGGCTGTGGTGTTTGCTTCAGACTGCAGGAAGAGAAAAACAACAGTTAAATTTTTGTTTGTCACTGTATCTGTCATTTGTACTAATGCTTTGGCATGTACAGTAAAATAAATGTCAGTTAAGACAATAAAGCACTTTGATTAGGACAACACATGCTCAATGTCCCTCAGAACATTTTTTATAAAAATAAACAATATGCGAAGGAAATGGCTCACACCTACATGCAAAAACACTTCATCAAGAAATAAATGCAAGATTATCAGTACGAACAAATTTCTTGTCTTGTCACGATACTGGAATTTCTAATACTGGACAATACCTTGACAAATATTGGTATTCAATACCATTTGACACCTCTGAGAAAAAATTGGCACAACATTAAGGGCATTAAATTCTAACAGTATCAAAGATTCTATGTAAGTATCTAAGGCAATAACAACAATAATAATAATATTTCTAAGACAGAAATATATTATTATTATTGTAATAACTGAAAAACAACAAAAACAAATGATATTTCATACTACTACATTCTTACTACATCAGTCAAATTAAAATACTTACAACTTAAATTTCTTTACTTGTTTGCAAATGCTTTTCATTACAAATCTACATTAAATGCTGTAACTATTAATCCACAAATATGTTGGAAATTATGCTTATGTGATAACATGTAACTGGCGTGCACTGTATCCCCAATAGCCTGTTTAACTCACAGCACATGCAAAGACGGAGTTAGCTGCATTTTAATTGAAATATATATTGTACTGTGTCAACTTGATGTAGAAGAAAAAGTGAGAGTGCAGCAATACTGCAGAAAATTAATATTGAGAATATACATATACATATATAAGCCTGGCCCTTACAAAGTTCTACAGTAGGACTTCACGAGATTTGGAATACTGCACACAATTCACATTTTAAATTTGTATATTGTAGACCTGGTCACCATGAGCTGTCATTACACAGACTTTTTGTGTTCCTCTGAAAAATAATGACAGCATACAGGTTCAAAACAAGAAACTGTGAGTAAATAAGTAAAATTTTTGGGTTAACTATGGCTTTAACAAATAAGGAGAGCATCACGGTGAATGCGAGTTATCACAGCCTTTTTATGGTGCGTTTGTGTGTGCATGTTCCAATAATAGAGCCAAATATGTAAGTGAGAGTACTATTATACCATACTGTTATTAGAGTATTAGTGTTTGTGTAACTTACTGTAGGCAATTTGTGTAAGTCCAGCAGTTCTCGAACAAGCCCTCTCAGCATATTCTGACACTTCCACATTTCATTCAGTGCTCTGAAAAACAATGAGATGCTCTCTGCTTGATATAATTAAACACATCAGTGAGATGAGTGCTGTTAATAGATGTACAGTGATACTGTCCAAAACGGTCAGATGAGAACCTGAGACTCTCTTGACAATCTGCTAAGCTTTTAAAACAGTCGATTAAGACTCACTTGACTGCGTTAGTGTCCAGGCAGGCATAAAGGTAGTACAGACACTTCATCTTCTCCTCAGTCTCCAGACTGTGAGGAACCATGTACTGTGCAAAGATCTTTTCCACCAGCAACCTATTACACAAGCACACTTTAAGAACCTGACGTTTCGATATTAGGCATGCTTCATTGTTTAATGTCAATAAACTAGTCAATGAAGCAGATCATTTGTGTGTACACGTGTGTGCGTGGCTCCTACTTGTCATCTATGCTGTTCTGGTAGTAGATGTGTAAGAGCTTGTCTTTGATCCAGCTGATTTTCAATGCGGACTCCTTCCCGGCCTCATGGTGCAGACAGTACTTCTTATAAAGCTGAGCCAACCCCATCATTGCTTCTTTACGGACACGCCACTGAAACAAAACATGATAATTAAATTTAATCTAAAACACCAGAGGTGTTCTGTGTTTTTCTCAGCTCCCTTTTCATTTACATTCTAAGTAGATTTGAATCACGGCTCCAAGATATATAAAAATAAAATCGATATTGCAATATGAGTTTATCAAATCACAATGGAATTTATCGTATTTTCCAGAATATAGGTTATATTTTCTTAACATGTTGTGACAAATTCCAAAGCGACTGTATACTGCATTTAAAGCATTATACAGTCACAGTCACAAAGCTCACATAAAATATGCACATACACAGCATGTAAGACAAAAACAAAGGTACACTGCTCAGCAGGCCAGTGTGACCACCGTACCGCCATGGTGTTATTTCAAACAAGTACTTGTGAAGTATGCTGTTATGTATGACAATAAGTGGATATTGGGACACGAGTGAAGTACAAAGCTTACAAAACAAATAATAGTTTTGCAACCATAGAAGCTAGTGCTGTCAAACAATTAATCGCGATTAATCACATTCAAAATAAAAGTTTTTGTTTACATAACATATGGTTGTGTACTGTGTATATTTATTATGTGTATATATATATATATATATATATATATATATATAAATACACACACATGCATGTATATATTTAAGAAAATATATGTTATGTTGTTATATTAAATATTTATATATAATATAAATTATATGAATATAAATATATACATGTAAATAAATGAAAATATTTTCAAAATGTATACTGTATGTGTGTATTTATATATACATAATAAATATACACAGTACACACAAATATATTATGTAAACAAAAACTTTTATTTTGGATGCGATTAATTGTTTGACAGCACTAATAGAAACATTTGGATTTGTGCCGAATGAGAGGGCTACATGAGTGTTTCTGCATCAAGCCGCTCTGAGAGCCTTAAACACTGTATCATGAGCTGAGTGTAAATGAGTGCCATGTCTCACTCTGAAACCTGCAGCACATATTTGCTGGCAAAACAGCAAATTCAAAGTTTGATGGTTTAACATTTCAAAAGAAATTAAGATGCAAATAGTAGCAGTAGTACAGTTGTACTATAAATGCATTTTTATTAAATATGACTTTTTTATTTTACAGTTCAATAGTCACTTTTGCTTAATATTTTTTATAATTACAAAAAATATATTAATTTTTTATAGCGGTATTGAATGTGTCAAAAATAGTGGGCATGTAGACTTTAAGATTTTTTTCTGTTCACTTTGTTACTGAAAGAGGTTTGAGTTGGTTCTTGTTAAGAGCCAAGTGTGAACACCCAAATTGTTCAGCCAGGAAGAATGGTGCACACACAAAAATAACCTGAAAAATTACTTTTTACTCTAAAGTAAATTATTTATGCTCCATGCAGATCCACAACTAATAAAAATCACCCTAATCATTCTAGAATGATTCATTCTTTCTTTAAAGACAATAGAGTACTTTTTTCATATTGCAATGTATATCACAGAAAAAAAATCATGCCATTGAGCTCAGATGACTTTAGGGTAACCTTTGCATCTTTCTCACCCTCTTGTCCAACATCCTCTCTCTGACAAACCCCAACAGTTGATCATTCACCAGGTTCAGATCTTTCTTCCCTGCGTTGATGATGGTCACAATGACATCATGCCTGATTGCCTCCTCTGGGTCATGTGATCTCACCTTCAGAAAATCTGAAGTGACAGACAGAGTTACACAAGATGTTTACTAGGGCTGGGTATCGATTCAGATGTCCCGATTCGATTTCGATTCGCAAGCTCTCGATTCGATTCTCGATTTTTTTGATTACATTCAGTGAATATAGTTTTAATACAAATGCTATTGATATTTCTAAAAAATGAACAGTAAACATCAGTTTACAAATGGTGAATTAATAAAAAGAAATTAAGAACCACATGCCTGTATTTTAAACCTATTCTTTTTTTTTTAAGATCGATTCGCGGCTTTTGAGAATCGATATCGAATCGACGTCATTTAAAAAAACGATTAATCGGAAAATCTATTTTTTTGCCCAGCCTTAATGTTTACAAGTCAAGCAATGCTTAAAATGGGGAAAAAAAATCAGTAGACATCACATTAATCCTGAACACACCAGTAAGATCCTTGGCAAGGTCTGGGTGGTTCATCAGGCAGTGGCTAGCAAACTTTACACACTCCAGTCTCACAGGAACATGGATGTCATTGAATCTTTGGGAGGAAATTAAAAGAAAATCAGAATTCAATAAACCTCAAATTATACATATTCAAAATCTGTCTTTCAGGACAGTTTTTCCAATGGTAGGAATCTCTCACCTTCCCAGAAAGCACTGCCAGAGTGGGCGATTCTGAGTGGCCAGTTCAGAGTCTTTTGCTCCAAAGAGTTTAGCCAACAGTTTCACCACAGCCAACCTCTCCTCTCCATCATTACTCTAAACAGACAACAAAAAAAACTGATTAGTCTTGCAATAAAAGGGTTTGTATGCAAGCCGATGCGCAAGTAAGTGTATGTGCATTAAGTCACCTTCAATTTGAACTCAAGTTGTGGCATCACAGAGACAAGGAGCAGAGGGTCGATTGCAAAGAGCTCCTGAATGAGGTCAAATACATGCTCAGACAGATCACTCACGGAGGACTTTCCCATCACCAACACCTGATTAAAGAACTACAGACAAAGAGAAGAAAGAGATTAGAGAAGAAAGTCAATACAACATCTGTCATATCATTTTGTCTTCTTAAAAGGAACTGAACTCATTACATCATTGAAATGTACTAAATTCTGAAAGGACAAATGGATGTTTTTGTGACTCACTGAGGCAATGCAGGTTTCGATGGTCTGAACCGTTCTCTTCAGAAGAGTCTTGGCCAGGTCATATGCCTGCTTATTCAAGTTCTAAAGCACAGAAAGAGGTACAACCACACACTGGTTAGCCATCTGAGACTGGACTGGGAAATGAGACTGGGAAGTAATAAGTAGAAAATAAGATTTGCCTACTTTGTGAGCAGGGATGAGGTTGATGAGGATTGTGTCCAGCAGCTCCTGCGTCACTCCATCTCCCTCCATGATGATGGAACTCATCAGGTCCAACATGTGCATCTGCACCTTCTGATTATGGCTGTTACTGGAAGAGGGAAAAGTCCTGATCAAAAAGAGTACAGTTGCGTAACAGAAGAGACGATTAAACTCACTTAAAATTAAACTCACTTGATGACAGAAAAGAGGGTTTTGAAGAGCTGGATGAAGATCTCATTACAGTCCTCCAATTCAAAACAGATGTTGTAGGACTTCACCCATGCCAGGTTCTGTGCAAATTAAAGTTCAACATATTAGCTATGACAATTAAACTACATGCTTAATCTTAAATGAAAAACAAACTGGTAAATATTGCTGCTATGTGGCTTATAATCCCACAAGACTGAAAGTACATTTAAGACATGCACATATAAACAACCAGTTATTTGTGAAAACACAGCAAAGAAAAGCTCACCTCTAGTAAGTAAAAATATCTGTTGAACTGAGGGCTCTTGGTATCCTCTAATCCCTTCAACTGCCGCGTAATGAAGAGAAAAATTTCCTAGATAGAGGATAAGAGATCAGTTTTTAATCATACATTTTTAGTGAGCCATAAGCAAGAGGTCAGTTTATCAAAGTCATATGTGAGATATGAAGTTTATCTTTTAAGCAGTACATGTCATACCTTGAGCTTGTCATGTGAGGTGTATGGGGCCTCTGGAGCATAAATCCTGAAGATGTCAGCAAGACAGCAGGCCACAAGTAACCGTACATCCTTGTTGGGGTTTCGCAGGAAAAACTCAGAGGCCAAGTGAAGAGCCAAAGCTAAGTACTGCTGCTTTTCCTCCTCTGAGTCTTGATCCATGTCCATATATGTCTTGACCACCAGCTATAAGACAGAAAGGTGTAATTTAATGCCAGTTTACAGTTTCTCTCAAACTATTTAATTAATCATTCTGTAAAAGGCAAATCTCTCTATCTGCTTTTATACCTACCTGCTTATAAATATAAAACCTATTTAACAAGTTTAAACACACACAAAAAAGTGAATTTCTCATGAATTTAACAGAAAACTTTTTAAGACATAACCACTATAACAAATCCCAGCAGCAACTGGACACAATTTTTTAGGTTAATAGCTACAGCATTACATTAACAATCAATAAATCTGCATCAATGAAGTGAAGGGAATGCATTTATCTACCTTATTTTTAAAGGTAAGTACATTATATTATTATAGTTATCGTTAACAAAATGAGTTAAGCGCACAAACAACTTTTACTGCATTTTGCAGACATATGAATTGCTACCAAATCATCACACACCGTTGCAGCGGCAGATGACTACTCTTAGACATGACTGAGAGAACAAGACACTGAAACTGACAGTCCTCAAAACCCTGCCTGTGGCAGGAAGCAGTAAAACACCACTCTTTCCTCCATCTCATCAGCACAAACTCTACAAGCGTTAGGCTAAGTTTAACACTAACGCATTTTCATTTTAAGCTGCATAACTTTCCCACGGTTACGCCTGGCATCCACACTACTCCAGAGTTTTCGACCCTCGAAAATGGAGACTTCTGGAAACGTTGCAGACCCCGTTTTAGTTTCAAAACTCCAGGGTAGCATTTCAGTGTAGACTGACCAAAATGGAGACTTTTGAAAACGAAGGCATGGCTGCCCACTTTCGCTCCCTGATTGGGACTTCTGGGTCAAAATCATACTGTCCATTAGGACTTGTTAGCTAATTTTAGTTTATTTCATATTTCTTTAAACAGAATCATAATTTCTATTAATTTTCCATTGATTTACGCGATATGATGAGCATTAGTGGCTTTCAGCATTGTCTGCTTGTGTTTTAAAATGAAAACGCACTAGTGTAAATGTAGCATTACACAGCCAATACAGAAAGAGGAATAACACAGACTCAAGGTCCTTGCACACTGAGTCCGAAATTTTCTTATGCGTTTTTTCATATTCATCATCCTAAAAATTCGTCATGCACAGAAACTTTGCACACTGAGTCTGATGCTTATTAATCCGTTGCGAAAAAATTAGCAAAACAGTACTAAATGGAGTCTGCAAGCAGTGAGGATGATTTTGTTGCCCTCTTGCTTCTTAAAAAGAGAAAAAGAAAGGAAATATTGGGTCCATCCAATCCTGAGATATAGAGGAGGAGGAGAGTTTTCCCCTCCTTATTAAGGAGCAGTGGGATTATCACGGGCGACTCAAAGATTACTTCAGGATGTCAGTGGCTCAGTTTGATGCTTTGCTAGTGATACTAGAGCCACATATTAAAAAGAAGACCACCAATTTCTGTGAACTCCGTGTGCAAGGATCTTTACGGTGCTTTGTACTGCAAGATGAAGTGGATGAACAAGACAATCGCCATTCTGGATTTTGGCGTTCGCTTGTACGGTGACTCTGAATTGTCAAAACACCTCTCAAAATGCTTGCTACGGATGCGAAAAATGCAGAAAACCAAACCTGATCCAAATTTTTTTATGACGGACGAAAGTTTCGGAGGCAGTGTGTAAACGTGATTGACAACGTGAGGTTGCATTTATTTTTCAACGTGCAAACATTTTGGACTCAGTGTGCAATGGCCTTAACTTTTACTGCTGCAACTTGGCAAAATAACAAAAACATTATTTTTTTTTCTTGTCAGAGCCAAAAAACATGTTTGTTTTGTAACAGGTGAATAGTCCATAGACACATAGATCTTGAATTCAGCGGAACACAAATAAGGTTTATTAAACATTGACTTTGGAAATCAATGCATCGTGAATGCAGGTCACATGTGCCAACACTGGACGCTGAGGGCTTAATTTTGAAAACTTTATTGTCTCCCTTGGTTTTAACGCCACAGAGCCATGTGAATTTCTGCACATACAAACCTGTAACACGGCAACAAGTTAATGTAATTACTTTAAGAAATCTAATTACTTTATTACTTTGAAATAGTTTATTAGAAAATCCTCAAATTATTGGCTGATGGGTGCATGAAGAATGCCAATATATAGTATATCATGCTTCACTGTTTGTATCACACTGCTTGTCTGTGTTCACAATGTTCCAGATTATGTATGTGGTGCTGAGTGGAAGTGGAAACGGAGGTGGAGCTGTGATTTATCCAGCAGCAAGAAACATGGTTTTTGAAAGTCAGAGTGTTTCCTTTCTCACTCCAAGATTGCTCAAAATGTCTTACTTGTGAGGAGCAGAGCTGGAATGAAGTGATTATAGAAACCTTTGATCAAGAAATGTGTTGTTCAGGTCCACTACAATAAAAGTCTTGCAAATAGAAAAAAGAACATGTGAAATGCTTGGCCAGAAAACACAATGGTAATTTCAAGTCTATTACTAAAACAAAGACCAATGTTTTGGAGAAATTTGGAATAATTACTGATTGACAAAAATAACATTGTTTTGACCCTTGCAGGTGCAGTATGGACTGCAATTTTTGTTAAAATCACAATGAAATGGAAACAGGGACAGATCTTTTCTTCCTTATTGTGACACATATGAAACTGAATTATCAAAAAAGGATCAACAAAAAATTTAGGGTGGGGACTACATCTGTTGTTGATTGGATTTACCCATTCATAAAAGCAGTGGTCATACTTTGCTACAGGTAAATAATTAGACTAATCTGCATGAAGAGTGCAATGTTTAATTGAGATGACCATTACGTCTTTGCATGCATGCACTCTTTTCTGTAGATCTCAACTTTCACAAGCACTTAACACTTCTAGTTCTAGGACCCAGGAGAAATTATTTTCTCTACTTTCTACCTCTCTCTGGCGCCTGTGTGAGAGAGAGCATGTTTGGTAAAGTGGGGGGAAGGGCAGCCTGTGCTCTGAGCTCAAGGAAAGAAGTTGAGCTTCAGACTCAGTCAAAACAGCACACTGACAAAAGCAGGAAGGCCAGCAGTCAGTCCATTTTCCTCCAAAGGACTCTGATACCCTTCCTAACAACCAACATTTTTACACATTTAATAAGTGAATACTACACAAAGCTAGAGTGAAAGAATCTCTGGAAGTTTGTATAAATTGATGCTGCAAAGAACCCACAGTTGTTTAATTCATCAAGGACTTATGAGAGAAAAAAGCAACTTGTGGCACTATATTTCAATCTGACTGCTCATTTATTTCCACCACCACTGGATTTTTTGGGGGATGGGCTGACCTATTTCATGTTTAGTTCACAAGAAGGACAGCCTCATCTATGAGATCACAATGTTATTTTCCACAAAAAGTGAACATGTTAGCTGAAAGGGTATATTTAACGGCCTGATTTGTTGAAAACATAACCAGTCTATTCAGCACTGCCGACACAATGTTTGTGTGTAATAATACAAAACACATTAAGAAACAATATATGACACACAAGTTGAAATGTAGGACTGCAAAGCATTTTAGAGACAGTCTACAACAGTGCTTCTTAAAGTCCACGTGAACAGGAAGTTGCTGCCGACTTTATTTCAGTGAAGTGACGTATTTCCAGCTGAAATGGAATATTGAGGACAGGGCGTGGTTTTATTTTTGCACTCCTCCTCTCACTCATAGCAAACTAACGGTTGGAGGGGTGTGTTTTTAAGGATATTCTGCCCAAGCCGTCAAACTGACTTCATCAGAAAAGGAATGCAATTCCAGAGCGGAAGTAAATGTTCAGATTTTGGTTAAAGATTACCAAGACAAACTATTTTTTTCAGCGGATTAATTGTTCACATCAAGACTAGCAATGTGCGCTAGTAAAGTAAATAAAGTCAATTTTGATTTCATGCGGACTTCAAAATCCGGACTCTGGTCTGGATCCGGACCCGCCTCCATTTTGTATTTCAAAAGCACTAATTATATTTTCTACTTTGATAAACACATGTTAAACTTGTAAATCATTTGTTTAGTTTTTTTAATGTCTTTTTGGAGATGGTCCGAATTGAAAGCGAAGGCAAGATATTAAAACTTTTCCTTCATGATATTTGTTGTCATGAAATCCATTGAGCGTATGACGTTTGACATAATTGGGCGACATTTCACCGCTAATAGGAGTAATTCTTTTTTTTGTTTTTTTGTTATCGCTTAGATTATGGCCATTTGACTTACAGCAGTGTCCAGTGTTTCCCATTGAGTTATTTGTGGCAGCCCGTTACAATATCAAAACTGACCGCCACAAATAGATTTTCCAAAAGGCTTATACTTCGTTGAATAAACTGAGCACTGCACGTTTCAAAATTAAAATGCTGCGCGGGTGTTTTTTTATGAATATATCTTTGAAAAGAACCGATCGTCTACAGAAAAGCTTTGATGTCATTTTCATTTCATCTTTCCTGTAATGCCTGATAAAGTAGCGTTTGTGAGCGCAGGGCTTATTTGATTACAGCCGTTACCTGGGAAAACGCTATCTCTCCCGCTCCAACAGTGCCTATTGCTGGCAGAGAATGAATTTGCATTTGCAAGTCAGTGGGAAACACTGGTGTGTCAACAAACAAATAAAAAGCTTCAGAACTGTTTTGAGAAGGTGCTTAAAGGTCCCCTGAAGTGCCTTGAAACACGCAGCGCTATTCTATGTGGTGACGTAATTTCAACTGAAACAGGAAGACAGGGCGGGACATATCGAGCAGCCCCGTCCCCTTTTTAAAATAGCCAATAGCGTTTTGTTTATACAGTGGGGCAAATATTTATTTGATCCCCTGCTGATTTTATAAGTTTGCCCACTTACAAAGAAATGAAGGGTCTGTAATTTTTATGGTAGGTTTATTTTAACGTATAGAGACAGAATACCTACCAAAAAATCCAGAAAAAAACACATTACATAAAGGTTAGAAATTGATTTGCATTTCAGTGAGTGAAATAAGTATTTGATCTCCAAGTAAAACATGACTTAGTACTTG